AGCGGCGGTGCTCTTGGCCGTGGGGATCTCAATTCCGTGCTGCGTCTTGCTTACAAATACACAAGCCCTCAGCCCCAAGCTCCAAAATCACAACTTGCTCCTGTGGCAGTCGCGTCTTGCAGAGGCCGTCAGAATTTCAGGAGACTGGCAGGGTGAACACCTAATCACCTGGAGGCCCTAAACCCTAAAAGGCGGCAAAACCCGGTAAACTAAATCTAACAATGCCCTACAAACCCTTTCTGCTCCTTGTCCTCACCAAACTGCCCTGGTAGCAACAGGCTGGAACGCCGGGGAACCGGTTCGGGCCTTAGTGGTTTGTTTAGGGTTCGGAGCCCCATCCGTGTTCGGAGCTTTTTAGGGGTTTAGGGCAGCTTTGGGGGTCTTCAGGTTTCTGGTGGTTTTAGGGTCGCTCGTGAGGGCTGCTGTAGTTCTGATATACTCGTTCTCATCACCATGGGACTGCTCGGGCTTTGCAACCACCGCGAGGCTCCAGCTACGCCATTGGAGTACTTGGAGAAGAGCTTGTTGAACATTGCCGCCTGTTTTCGGTGACCCCTAAACCCTAAACCCTCTTGCCCAGGTCAGCCTACGAGCATACGCGGATGATGATTCACGAGCCTTGGCAATGTCTGGGGGTCCCACGTAGTTCCCTTAATTTAATGGGGCTCCTATAAAATACCCTTAATGGGGCTCCTATAAGATACCCTTAATGGGGTTCCTATAAAGTTCCCTTAAAGGGAACTCCAGAAAGGTGGAATATGGTTTAATGGTAGGATCCCCTCTAATTTACCTTAAAGGGGTTAGGATAATGATATTCCAACTTTCTGGCTTCTACTGTAATGGGGTTCCTATAAGATACCCTTGGTAGTATAGGGCCCCAAATTAGGGGATCTGCTTTATAGATCCTCCCGGGGGTGTGGGTTTTCCGGAGCATTGCAGTTCGGGCTTTTATTGCATGCAGCACCGGAGCTGCAAGCTGATAAACCCAGGTCTCCACCTCGGTCATAATGACGAGCATATGGAGTAGAACTAAACATATTGGGGCAAAAAAACACTAAACATATTGGGGAAATAATGACAGGAATATGGAGTAGAATCAGCAGAGAGAAGTGTGGTCAGGGTAACTTTCCAGTTCCTATGGGGGAGAGAGCTCAAGTGACCGCTCGAAACCTGCACCCTCATCCCTAAACTCTGGAACCCCGATCATGGATGCCTGAAGCCCCAATGCCCAAGCCTCTGAACCCCAAATCCCAAAACCGTACAGTAGCAAACCCAGCCAACAAATCCTACCCCAAACCCTAAAGAGTCTTTTGGGAACCCCAATATACCCCAATGAATCCCAATGCATGACCCTCAACCCTAAACCCTAGACCCCAATGCACAGATCCTCGTTTTGAGGAGCCAAGCTGCTCCTACCCGAAGCTTCCAGCCTCGGACATCATCCTAAAGGCGGGCTCGCGCGAGCTGGTTTCATTCTGTGCTTTTTAAGAGGGGGGGTGTTGGGATGTTGTTGTGCTTGTTTTCGCATTTTCAGGTTGCCGATATTGTTGTGAGTGACGTTTGAACTGCATCTGTTTGGTGATCAGAAAAGCGGGATTCAGGCACTTTACACCCCAAACCCAGGGAATTGGGGGGCTTGCCGGCAGAGGGTCGAGGCCCGTACTGTAAGGGGTGCAGTGTTCAAAGTCTGATGTTTACCGTCGATGGTTCAGGGCCATTCAGGGTTCGAGGCTTGATATGCACATTTGGCCCTTTGCGCTGCGGCCATAATTATCAGTACCCGTTTTGGCGGTTCCTTGTTATAAGTATAGTATAATGGGCACCAAAACCCTATTCTAATTATTAAGGCCCCTGTATTAGTTAGTGCGAAATCACTTGCTGCACCATCCTCCGTAAGCTGCTCGGTCTGCTCTCATCCGGGGCGCTACTGTTCGATTCGGGTGCCCCCAAATCGAACACGGGTCTGAGGCTTTCGCTTAAATTCAGACAACCCCCTGTCCGAAGTTCACCCGAAACTCTGCCATCGCCTCCAAGGCAGATGAGCTCCGAAACACCAAGGACGAGGGTCTTCGACGGTCTAATGTATCTAAGGGGTCGGAGAAGCTGGTCACAGGCTCCTGTACAACTTATAACCCCGTCATAATTATGGCATGCCACGAAACCTAGTCAAACTATTGCTGTGGCCACGACGATTAAGACACACCCTATATAAGTCCAAAAACTTCAAGACAATGGGAGATGCCCCACTCGAAAGAAGTTCGCTCAAGCTTGCGAAGCTACGTGTCCACGTTCTGCTGTAGGCTTTACGGTTTATGGTTGAGGAAGGCCTGACGACGGCCCGTTCTAGGGTCCTGATGTGAAGGCCTATTCTGAGGTCCCTATCGTCAGAAACTTCCATAACGGCCATGGAAAACCAAGTTAGGGTCTACTGATCAGTGTTCGAGGCCGTGTATTGACACATAAAGCTCCTTCAAAGCAACCCAATTCCACATATTCTTCTTATAGGAGAGATACCTGGACCTAATTCTTGCTATTTCCGCACCCGGGTTAACGCCGCCCCTCTGTGTTAAAGCCGAGCCCCAAAACGTTGCAGGAGACCCTGGAGACGCTACTGAGCACTCTGACCGGCAAGCCGCAAGCCGGGACGCCTCGAATCCCATGTGGGAGCTTCCGAAACTTAGGGGTAACTTATTTTGGGGTCCTTATAATAAGGATCCTACTATATAGGGTACTATATTAGGATCCCCTATTTCCGGAAACTTTCATGTGATTTTAAGTCAGGGTTACACAGCTTACATCAGGATTACTATGCGGCATAGGGGAACGATAAGGCCACCATGAGCTACTGTAAGGTCTTGCCATGGGCTTCTGTACTTAGGACCGCACAGAGGCAGATGTTTGAGATTTTCGGAGGTGAGTCTCGGGCAAGCCGGAGCCGGATAACCGAAGTTGCTTCTTTTTGGCGTTCGGAGGGTTCGCGGGGTCGGTGGCCGCAGGGGTTTTAGCTGTAGGTGTGCCGGTGTTCTGCTGTTATGGCTTGAGTTTGGGGAGGGTTCCGTCGGGAATCAACAAGTTTTCAAGTAAAGTTGTAAAACACGCGCATCCCCAATACCTGCGATGAGCTTTGCTTCGAAAGGGCTTTGCGGAGATGAGCCGGAGGACATAGAGTGGCGGGCACGAGCGTCACAAGCGCCGCACGAACAAACTGCAGCGCCTATATCTCTCAAGACAGGAGGTTCATGGGCCCAAGTTGGAAGATCGCCGGGACTGGGGTTTTGAAACAACCAGTGCTTGGCTTTGTAACGAGTCACATTGTAATGTAAGCTACAAGCCAGAGGGTCTGGAATGCCTTTCCGGAACGCACAGTGCGAAGAAAACTAGGGCTTGCGGAGCTGAGGCCATGGTCGCAGACATGGTGGCGCGCGACCGCTACATGTCGGTGACGGAGGATCAGCAGGGCTACGTAGTGCTCGTGCTCGGGTCAGGGTTCCTTATTATAACCAAAGTATAATGGGCCCTCAAACCCTATTCTAATTATTAAGGCTCCCTGACAGGAGCCCTTTAAAGAAATGCCTATTCTAATTATTAAGGCCCCTATATTACAGCAACTCCCGAAATCGAGAGGCGAAGGATTTCGGCCTGGTCGACACGATCATTGAATGCAAGCCGCGCTGCTTGGCGGAGTCATACTTGGAGGTTCCCCCTTTAAGGGTTCTATGCGATTTAGGGTTCTTCAAACGGTTCTAGAGGGTTCAGGGATTAGGGTTTTAGGGAAGTTAAAGTGGGGTTATAAGTCCCCTAATACGGGTTATAAATATGGTCACCCAACTTACCCAACTTCTACACCCACTTATAACTACCCATGAACCGCCAAGTAAGCCACGTTCACGGGATTGCAGGTCGGAATGTTGTCAAGCACCTCTCACAGTAACACTACGCTTGGTTGAGGGCCAGGCTGCACCTTCGGAGTTTGGGCTGCCAAATGACCAGAGCCTCGACCCTACCCCCCTAGATCCGAAGTATATGCTTGTGGCCAAATGCCAAAACGGCCAAATCCCCCTAAAGCGTAAAGCCCCCAAAACCCTCCCCAAACCACTAGACTTTGTCATAGTTAGGTGACATCTTACATATTTATGGGCAATTAAACCCAATCAGGAATAAAGATGTACATCTTTAATCCTATCCCAACCATGAACTAGTAGACTCTCAAACCCCGAGGCTCCGAACGTCTGCTCAAGCCCGCGGGACACCCACAAAAGGCTCAAGCCGGAACCCAAAGCCAGCAACCCGGCAATCAGCAAAGTTTGCAGAATACAGAGTCACACCCTAAATCCTAAACCGTCGCTTCAAACCTTGCAATGTTCTAAACGAAACCCGAGCCGAGGGCGATCGTGAGCTCATGCCAGGGGCTCTGAGATTGCCGCCTGGTGCCGGGATAGCTTCGAAAAAGGTGCTGCCAAGGTTTTGAGACGAGGTAATGGTTAACTAAGGCAAAGGTTAAGTTAAGATGTATCTGAAGTATATAACCATACCTGGCAGAGCTCTGATGGTGCTTTTCGCTGCTGATGTTCCTCATGTGTGGTTGAAGGTTGAGTGTAGTGATAACGTTACTGCAATGACAGTTTCAGAGTCGTTGCGATCAGATTCGCAGTTTGAGGCACTGCTGCTGAGTACTTTCGTTATGTCATTCCTGCTCAAGCCAGCTAGAGCTGAATCAGTCATGTTTCTGAACCGAGCAAGCTGCAACTGGGCACCCCTGAGGTAGCATTAAAGGTCCTGCAACAAGGACAGGATAGCTGGAGAGATCACAAGTAAGCACAGCTTCCGAGTTGGATTCACAGTGCTGCTGCTTCCTCTCGATGGAAGATCCGGGCGACAGCATGAACGGCCTCCATCTAGCTCATATGCCTCACGAGGTCTGCGCCGGTGTGGTGTGGAGCTTGGAAATGTCGGACGTGGGACGCTTTGCACCGACCTGCAAGCTTTTTTCACAGGAGGCCATGGATGCAGAGCTTTGGTTTCACCTCTTCATGCGGACATGTTGGCCACCATCAGGCGCTCTTTTAGCCTTTGCAGAGGGCACCACCACACCCGTGGGTATCGACTGGCGAGCTCGTCTCCAAGCGCGTTCCGCAGCGTCCCCAACTATCGTGGTGGATGTGGGCCGAGGGTACACCAAGTACACAGTAGCTGATGGGATCCAAGGGCGCTGGGAGTTGGATGGTTGTTCTCCGCAGCTTGTGCAGCTCTGTTCTTCGCCTACACATCCTCCAGACTGTGAGAGGAATGACCAGCTCCGATACATCCAGTACATGCTGAACCGAGAGTTTCTGCAAGCGGCCCTCAGCCCCTCTCATCGACTCCATAAGGCGGCACTGGCTCCACAAAACCGCCTGAAACAAGGCGGCTACGCAGTGTATCGGGATGAGCATGACAATGCCAAGCCCGTCAAGGCTGGCGGTTTTTGTATCATTTTCCGGCAGACAGTCTTGCGGCTTCTAAGCATTCACGATAATAAATCAGTGTACGTCGAAAGCAGGTCCAAAAATGCGACGAGGCATCTGGCCAGTGGTCAGTGGAGGTGCTTCAGAGCTCTGAGCGGGGAATCCTTTCCGTGCCGTCGGAGTCTTTGGAACCAATCCGAGCCTTGCTTGGCAACTGTGAACCTTTTTCGTGATAGTTCTGTACTCTACATGCTGCGAGCTTTTGGCCGGGTAAACTATGCCGCTAGAGTTGCTAGAGAAGCATCAACAACCGGTATAAGTGGTATTGCTGGTGGTGGCGACGATGGCCGGTGACCATGTTTTCATGTTAGTCGTAAGCACCAGCCAGCATGGCGGCAGGCATCGCAATTAGTGAGTGTAGCAGCATCAACAAACGTAGTTGAATGAGCTAAGACAACCAACGCCAGAAGCCCGTAGCAGCGGCGTGGTGATTCGGAAGAGTTAGCCACCGCCCTCACCATCGTCGGCATAGCCGTCATTATCATCGTTAATGTCCCTGAATCTCTGAATATACCCCACTCCCAACATGCCCTGAGTTATTCGAAGTGTACGCCAGTCCTCGTCCTCGTTCCGAGGCATCAGGCCTCCTAAACCCTCAGCGTCCCAAGCCCTACCCGAGAACCCAAAACCCACAGCATCCCAAAACACAGCAGCCTAAACTACCCTGAACCCTACACCCTGAACCCCTAAACCCTAAGCCCCTACAAGAGCTCCTCTTCCTCTGAAGGAATGGCCGAGGACCCTTCAAGTTACTATGATTATTTTTTTCTTACTGAAATTACTACTACTATTATGATAGTATTAGTAGTATTGCTACTATTATTATTAGTATTATTGCTATTATTATTATTATTACCAGCAAGTTGCTAGTATCATTGGTATGATCATCTCTGAAGGAATGGCCCAGGACCTGCCCATCCTCATCGGGGAGCCCTTTGTGATCACCGCCGCCGGCACTGGCGAGAAAGCAGCCTGGGAGCAGCAGCTTGGGCAAAAACGGGGAGAGGAGAGCTCTAATATCGGGTTCCTCGGGTTCCTTTAGCGGTCGATAAGGGCTACCATAAGAGGGGTTAGGGTTGAGGGGTTTATGGTTCAGGGTTTAGAGATATAGGGACCCTAAATAATTAGGCTTCCTTGTAGAGTGTACTATAAGGGCTCCTTCAAGGGATCTCTTGGGTTTAGGGGGTTTAAGGGGTTTAGGGTTCCCTTTAAGGGTACCTTTTACAGGGGTTCTTTCAGGGCTACGATACGGGGGAATCACGGGTTTTGTATAGGGGGCCTCAATAATTACGTAAACTATCGTGGGGGCTCCGTATTATAACTATAGTATAATGGGCGCCAAAACCTTATTCTAATTATTAAGGCCCCTACATTACGTTTTAGATGGCATAGTCATAGTAACGACAGTATGCCATTAGTAGTATGCAGTACTGTGTGCTTATGTTCTTATATAAACATATGTACGAAATATATGATAGTTTTCCTTGCATATGCCTACTGTTGCAAGTTTAAACGTCTGCAGCATGCGGCACCTTGTTTTCGTGGATTGTGCAGCGTGGTGGTGCAGTTGCTCAGTAGCTGTTGTTGCGTTCAGCTTTCTCACGCCGGTTTCGTGATGGCCGGCTAAATCCCTCAGCCCAAAGACTCCTATGTCCCTTTATGAAGGAATATACCCTAAATCATACTAGGGATCCTACTATAATTCAAGGTATATTCTTTAATTAAGGGGTATTGGAGTCTTTGGGAGCCGTAAACATCGAGTTGGGGCTATCCACGGACCTTGGTACCGTTAAGCCCAGGAATATCCGAAGCCAGCTGGGCAATGACCGACCGGGTGCCGTCCAAGTGGTCTCTCAGGCCCAGATGGTCTTCGAGCCGCAACTGGTTAGTATAGTAATAAACAATTATGATAATAACACGAAAATCATCATAAAAGTTTACCAATCAGAATAAGACGGTAGTGATGTCGCATGATCATGGCTGTGATGCTCGTAGTCATAGAGCTGGCGATGGCAATGGTCATAGTGATGCCGATGAAGCTGTGGCTGTTGCCATTGCCGAAGCTGCTGATGGCGCCGATGTGAACAGCACGGCGGAGATGGTCATGATGATGCTGGCGACGATGACGCTGCTCATGACGATGTTGGTAACATCCGTTGGTCGGCGAGGGACGATGGAATGATGACCCGACGAGCATGGATATAGTGACGGCGAGGATTGCTATCATCGTCCACATCATCTTCTTCTGCGTCAACTTCAGTACGTGCCCTTAGCATCATCATCGTCACCATCATCATCATCAGAACCATCCTCATCGTTATCCTGAAAGTCACCGTCATCGTCATCAGCATCATCCTCGCCATTATGGTCGTTAGCATCGCCATCGCCATCATCATGGTCATCCTCATCACCATCATGATCAACACCTCTTCGTCATCTCCTCTTTATCGCTTTCATCACCATCATTGTGTTCACTGTCATGTAACACACGATCGATGAGGGACGATGACCGTGATGATGAAGGTGGCCAGCGTGATCGTTGAATCGTTTTGCGTGTTGTGTACAAGAATCCTTTCCTGCTTCGATATGACTACTTCTAGACAAGGTCTCGATATTGCTGTTACGGTATTACGTTTGGACGAGATCTTTGTCAACATGTGTGCTGCCATCGATGCTGGCCCTGTTGTTGTGGCAGGTCGTCGTGCATAGCCGGTAAGCCTATGGCTGTCTTCTTCTCCTCAGGCCGACTCCATGCTGCGTACACGCTGGCACGCGAAGTTGACCACTGCTAGTTATGTTTCTGATGCTGCTTGATCGCGTATCGTTGAGTCGTATATGGTGGTATGACGATCGGTTGCTCTGTCGCAAGCCGCACGCCCAGACACCCAGGCATTGTGGGCACATGGAGTGGATCATGGCATCGTCGTCAACATCGGACAGGGGCAGACGGTCGCACTCCCGGTAGTCAAAGGCGAAGTGGCCAGGCCTTTTTGGGTAGAATATCTGTTTCATAGGGGATGACTTGGGATCCAATTCGATCTAATGTAATTGGGGGATTCTAGAATTTACGGGACCAAAGAATAGACCCCCCAGTGGTATCAGAGCAGTAGGATCACTGGGTTGAGTATTATGAGGTCACTAAGGGCTCTACTTTAAGTTAAGAAACCCCACGTAAGTCCTAGACCCGGGGCTGCTTATTAGCTGAAGGGAGCCCAAGCTCTGGAAAGTTTGTAGTTCAGGGTTTAGGGTTTTGGGCCAGGGGCTCTCGGTTTTCGTCTTGGGAGCCCAGGTTCTGTCTCAATGCGCCCTGAGTTCTTCTATTGGAAGTGGCGACCTGACGCAGGCGGAGGGATGTACCCAAAGATTCCAATATCACTTAACTAAGGAATATGCCTTAAATTATAGTAGGATCCTTAATATCATTTAAGGTATATTCCTTAATTAAGAGATATTGGAGTTTTTGGGTAAAGGCAGCTAGGATGCGGGCGGCGCGTGTCGTCAGCTATGCGCGACCCTTGCAGACGGTGCAAGTAGGGTAGCAGCAATGTGTTTTGAGATGCAGGTGATGGTGTCGCTCATGAGCCGGAGACATCCTGCTATCGTGGACAGCTCCCTGATGACCTGGTGCCGAGATCTTAAGGAAGCGCGGCCATTTATTGCTAAATACATGCCAGACAATGCTGCTAAGAAGTTACGTCACGGCTCAGTCTTCGTCCAGCTCGAGGGTACTGACCCTGGAATTGATGAAGACGACGATGCTTTCGATTACTGCGGTCCAAGTGTGGCTGTAGGGTCGCTTTGACCCGGAGCATAAAACTAGATACCCACAAACATCCAACCATTACAAGCCTTTACACCCAAGACCTTGGCAAGCCCGAAGCGCTGAGGCGTCAAGCCCTGAATATCTGAAATCCCGTATACTAAACCAGGAGAACTACTGCTACGTCTCCCCACCCGGCCGTGGCTGCATGCGGAGCCGTCTGGCTGCCGGGGACGATTACGGCATCCGCCCGGTGGAGGTGGGCTCTTGGGGTTTGTCGGCTCTAACCCTAAACTCCTAAACCCTAAACCTCTAGGCTTGTGTTGAGGGCTCCAAGGATTGTTAAGTTTTTGAGTCCTTCTTTCCAATTTCAGGGCTTGAAAGAACAGGCGTTTAGGCTTTAAGGCTCAGGCAATTTCGAAGCGGTTTGGAACCGAAGCTTCAGGGCTTGCGTTTAAGGCTTGAGGGCTAAGGATCTTGCTTCCAGGGTCGGGTTTGAGGGGGTAGTTTGCAAAAGGTAGGGGTTGAGTTTGGGCTTGAGGGGTTATCAGGGTTTCATGCGAGGGCTCAGGACTGGAGGGTTTGGTTGCAGGCTTGGGGCTGGAGGCTTTTTAGAGTTCGCGGTTAGGGCTTAGTAGTTTAGGGATTGAGGTTTCCGTTGGGGAGGCTTAGTAGGGCGGTTTTCTGAGCTTAGGATCGAGAGTTCAGAGCTCAAAGTTTAAGAGTGGAGGGCATGGGACTCAGTGTTCGTGCCATGGGGTTTTAGGTTTTAGTTGGTTTAAGTCTCACGGTGGAGGGTTGGAGCTTCAAGACTTCGGCTTGTCTTGCTTGGCCCCTTCACTTCACATGGCCACCTTCGCATGGACTGTCGTCGTGAGCTCGTTCCGTTTATGTTTCCCAGGTTGCTGTCAGGGCTTCGCTTACCTTTGCTAGTAGGGAATGGAGGAATGGGGTACAATCATACCTGCTATGGCTATTACTACCATTCTTCCATTCCCTACTAACCAAGGCCATGTGGCCTAAGATTGGATTGAGACTCCGCGGCCAGTGGTGAAACGTAGCCTCTGGGTCTTTGCTCCTCGGTCCTCAGCTCCACATGCGCTGGACCCAGAAAGTTTCCAATTAATCTCATCGCCTGAGCTATCCCTAGGTATTCTTACATTGCAACATCCCCCAAACCCTGCTCTAATTATTAAAACCACCGTTTTAGCACACATGTTACCCTTCCCCTAAACCCTGTTAACCTTGAAACACCCAGGTGGAGTTGCCGGAGTATGCCTCGGCCCGCACGGAGGAGAATACCCTGGAGCTGGCGGAGGCTCATCAACGCGAATCCCTAGTGACATGTTTTGGGGTTTAGGGCAAGGTTCAGAGTAGGGCTGAAGGGCTCCTTGTTATTCTATTTCTTGCATGTTGTCATGCGTAAATGCCACACTTCTGTCGAAGAGTTTTGCATCTGTTGTCGGGTGTCCGGGACTTTTGAAGGACTCCGTCGTGTTTCTGATTTTGATACACTGCCAGGTGCCACTTAGAAGGAGTCGCCGTCAGTAGCAGGAGTAGATGTAGTAGTAGCCGTAGCAGCCGTAGTACCGTACTACCGTCGCACAAGTAGTAGTAGTAGTAGTAGTAGTAGTAGTAGTAGTAGTAGTAGTAGTAGTAGTAGTAGTAGTAGTAGGAGTAGTAGTAGTAGTAGTAGTAGCAGTAGTAGTAGTAGTAGTAGTAGCAGCAGCCGCAGCAGCAGTAGCAGTAGCAGCAGCTGCAGCAATAAGGAGAAGTAGTCGGAAGTAGCAGCAAGTGGTGACAGCTAGTAGATACGTTGTGACAATTGCAACATGTTGCAGCAAGTCATGACAAGTAGTACAAAGAGGCAGTAAGGTAGTATGAGGTGAGTGTCATAGTAGCTAGGTCCCCCAGTAGTACCCTTTTGCCCTTTTTATTTTGGAGTCTCCTTTTTGAGGTACCCTTATTATTAAGGGGCCACTTACCTAGCTAGTCGCCCCTTTCGCCGTTTTTATTTTGGAGTCTCCTTTTCGAGGTACCCTCAGGGTACCCTCATTAAGGGGCTACTTGCCTAGCTAGTCGGCATCTCTCAGCCGGAGGAGCGTGTCTTGGTGCCCGAAGTTCTCTTCGAATCAAACAGAGGACTCGGTCTTCCTGGGCTCATTGCACCTTGAAGCCTTCTTACTATAGGGGGGCTCAATAATCAATAATTACCAATATATTTGGGGGGTTCCTCATTATAAGTATAGTATAATATACCCCAAAACCCTATTCTTATTATCAAGGCCCCCTACATGAAGTCTTGGATACTTCAGATTTCGAGGTTATTTCAATCGTGAAATGTGGCCCAGGATCTCTTGCGAAGGACCTTGGGCCTTTGCACATGGGTTCCCGTCGGAAGCATTGTTGTCGCCTGGGGTCGGTAGTGCCGTCAAAGCTCGTAACAACCGCCTGGAGGATCATGGCTTTTTCCAGGTAGGGTTGTAAGTGCCTTAATTCGATTTGGAATCCCTGTAAGCCTCGTAGCTACAGCGGCCCAACCTTCTGCCCTAAACCCTAAACTTTAAACCCTACAAAGCCCCCCCGTCTCTCGAAGGGCTGAGCCCAGGTACGCTGTGCCGATGCAGTGCTTGCCTCCGGCAAGAGCAGTGAGGAGGGAGTCCGTGAACTGCTCCGGCAAGTGGTACTGGCGCCTCGGGCTTATGCACTGTATTTACTTACCTGTTTATCTATCCATGTATCTATGTATGTGAGTATTACATATATGTACATACGCACACACACACACACACTGTCTGTGTGTATATACACATACACACATGCATATGTATAACCTATGTATATATATATATATATATATATATATACAGCACATGCAGTACATACATAATTACATACATACTATAGAGGTTTCAACAAGAAAGTCCCGGTAATGATAGTATAATGAAAGGCTCCCAAAACCAAATTGTAAACATTAATGGCCCCTTTATGACATGCTTAGGCAGGACTCTGACGGTAGCTACTTATAGTGGGACGTAGGACCTGGCCTTTCGGATTTAGCAGGGTCGGCTGTGCGGCTTTCGAGCTTCAAGGGTTTTTGCACATGCATGAGTTACGTCATGTTACGCTCACGTTCGGGGCGTGCATACGAACCCTTCTTCCTCACGATGCCTGATGTCTGCAAAGCCCCACCGAGCTTCCGAGGTTGGGGGTGCAGCAGACTTCCCGGGTATCCGCCCGCGAGTCGAGTACGAGCCTGGGCTGCGCTGGGACGGATATTGATTTTGGGGTTTAGGGCCCAGGCTTCTCCACCCTTGGGCTTCAGCATAGTCGTTGTTGTTCCTTGTGCTGCTCCTGATCCTCCTACTTCTCGCGGCGCAGCACGGTTCAGCTTGTGACGATGATGATGGTGATGATGATGACAAGAGTTATGACTCCTTCGATCAGTATTGCTGTTGCTGCTGCTACTGCTGCGACAGCACTACTACCACTGTTGCCACTGCTTCTGCTACTCTTAAGTCTGTCACCGATGCTTTGCTTTTGTTGCTGCTACAGTTGCTATTACTGCTACTGCAACCGTAACTCCTACTACTGTTGCTCTTACTGCTGCTCCTACATCCAACTTTTCAAATGCTTGTACGACGGCCGCTATTCCTAAGACGACCACAACTAGCCCCACTCCCACCCGTCCCAGCACGACGACCACCTTGACTGCAAAACTCTCTTGCGGATCGCAAAATCCTAAAACCCCAAACCCCCTAAAACCCTAAATCCTAGAACCCTAGAGCCTAAGCCTTAGCACCCTAAACCCCTAAAGCCCTAAACCCTAGAACCCTGAATCCTAGATTCCTGAGCCCTAAATCGCTAAATCTTAAAACCCTAAACCCTAAAACCATAAATCCTAAAAACCCAAAACCCTACTTAAATCCTAGAACCCTAAACCCTAAAACCCTAACCCCTATAGATCCCTTAAAGGAATCCTTGTGGTACCCTTTAAAGGGACCCTAAACCCTCCTAGGAGATGCGGAGCCTCTTGCAGAGCTCTCAGTTTGAGCGCCTCCTCGGGTGCCTGAGCTCCGCGGAGGACGTCTTCGTCTTGAACCCTCCGCTTGGGGAGACGGGGCCCTTGGTGACTCCTCGATTCGTGCCCCTGTTGCTTCGGCTGAAAGGATGATGGGAGAGGGGAGGGTGGAGATCTGATTTGAGCCTTAAGCCCTCCGAGCTCAAGAGTCCAACTGGCAGCCAAGGTTTGGTGGTTGCGTTCGTGCAGCAAGCTCGAAAGGCTATGGAGCCTGGGAAAGGGACAGCAACATTGGGGCCCTTCGCAGCCTCCCATTGCTGGCTGATATGCCGGAGGGACGTTCCAACAGTAGACAGGTCTTCTGGCAGCAGCGGATGCGACGAATGCTGGCTTTGCAGCTGCCTGACATTTTCCGTACCGGTGGTGGCGGAGGGGAGGACGACCAGGCATGGCAGATGCTGGATGAGGACAGCGAGGAGGGTTCTGAGAGCTCAAACTTGCACTTCGAGGAGCAAGAATCCGAGAGCCAAGCCTACTCCCCTTCCAGTCCTGTGGACTGGCCCAGCGCAATTGAAGAAGCAACTGCCTCCCCCAACGAGAGGGTTTCTTCCAGCAGAGGCAGCGGCAGAAGCAAGGGCAAGGGAAAGGGAAAAGGAGGGGGTAAAGGTCGAGTGAGGCGCGGCCGGCTAATTTGGAGGCCGGTGCAAGGCCAAGTCGAGTAACTGCTGAATGTTGTACAAACCAGGTGCCCCGTAGGCACTCAAGCACATTTTCCGCTCGGCAAACGTGTCTTGCAGCGTCTCTTCCAGCGGCCAGATTTTTAGGTTCGTAGCTTTTAGGAATCGAGCTTGGCTTTGCGGAACTTCGCACCAAAATCTGACCTGTGGAATCTGGTCCTTGCTTTCATGTCGCGCGCTGCTCGGAACACGGATGGTTCCTTAACTGCAACCCGATCGACGGCCGTTCCCCGGCTCAGCAACGGGCTCGTATCGACCTCTTTCGTCCGCGCGCTACTTGCAAGGGCCTTGGCAGTTTCAGGAATCGTCTGGAGCACCCAGCAATGCAGCAGAAGTGCCTCAATGATGATAATTTCCGTGGTCGCTGCCGTTGTCTTCAAGCCCAAGTGTTTCAGGTTAACAACATGGATCAGAACGAGAAGGCTTTCCAGAAGCAGGCTTGCGCAGGGTTGCTGAATGCTGTCATTGGTGTTTCTCTTGCATGGGAATGTTGTCAACCCTACACGTAGGGGATTCCTACTACAATTTAGTGTTCTGGATTGGGGTCCCATGTTGCCTGAGACCCCCATGTAGCGAGCCGCTTTACCGAGCGGCGGTCTAATTTCCACAAGAGCTTCCGATACTGAAACGAGATTAGATACAGTATGTGTCTTATCGCCATCAGTTTCCGGAGCCAGACCGCGTTCTTATGCCGCTGCAGTTTGTGTGTCTGTGTGTGTGTGTGTGTTCTTGTTCAGCCGCTGCTGCTGTTGTTGTTGTTGTTGTGGTTGCTGTTGCTGTTGCTGCTGTTGCTGTTGCTGTTGCTGTTTCCGTTGCTGTCGCTGCTGCTGCTGCTGCTGCTGTCGCTGTTGCTGTTGTTGTTTGTTCCTTGTTATTGTTATTGTTATTGTTGATCTTGTTGTCGTTGTTGTCTTTGTTGGGGTTGCTGCCGCGGTGCTTATTGTTTCTTGTTGTTGTTGTTGCTGCCGTTGTCCCTGTTGCTGTTTCCGTTCTTGCTGTTGCTGTTGCTGTCGTTGTTTGTTCCTTGTTATTGTTATTGTTATTGTTATTGTTACTGTTGATGTTGTTGTCGTTGTTGTCTTTGTTGGGGTTGCTGCCGCGGTGCTTATTGTTTCTTGTTGTTGTTGTTGTTGTTGTTGTTGTTGTTGTTGTTGTTGCTGCTGCCGTTGTCCCTGTTGCTGTTTCTGTTCTTGCTGTTGCTCTTGCTGTTGCTGTTGCTGTTGCTGTTGCTGCTGTTGCTGCTGTTGCTGCTGTTTTTGTTGCTGTCGCTGTTGCTGTTGCTGCTGCGGCTGCTGTCGCTGCTGCTGTTGTTGTTGTTGTTGTTGTTGTTGTTGTTGTTGTTGTTGATGTTGATGTTGATGTTGATGTTGATGTTTGTGTTGTTGCTGCTGCTTTGGTGGTGACTAGGCAGCACCTCAGTACCGGTTTCGGTGTTGCCGGATGCGTGGTTTGCGGTGTTAATGTCGGTGGTGGAAATGATGGAATTTCAGCTCCTCCTGCAGTTGTTGCCGTTGCTGCCGCTTAGGGGCATTCTTCTTAGCGAATAACTGGCAGCATTATGGTGTTGCACAAAGTGAGGATGGTGATTGATCGAAACTGCATGTAGATTTTGATGTCTACGGAGTCTTCTACGGTATTTATTCTGACTGCCCCCCTCCCACCTCATCATTGCCTCCTGTTATCAGAGATCGCAGTCAAACTCTGAACATCCCCGGAGCGGGATCTGCTAGGATGCTGTTTTCATCGGCTCCAAGCGCCTGACCGCGAAGAAGTCCAAGAAAGCCGTGCGCTACTGGCGCAGTGTCGGCTTGGGCTTCGCGACGCCGAAGGAGGCCAAGGAGGGGAGGCTCGGACAGCATCAGCACAGGAGCTCTTCGTCTCCAGCACCTGTGAGACGTGAGTTCCCTGACCATGCGCAGATCCTTTGCAAAATCCAAGGAACTTCGTGGACAAAAAGTGCCCTTTCACCGGGCTCTTCGGCTGAAGTTCGTCGTGGCAAGTCTTCGCTGATACATCATGGAATTATGCACCTCCGGGACCCTGATGCCTGAGTCCTAAACCCCCGTGTGTCCGAGAGGCAAGATGCTCAAAAGTCTTTCAGCTCTGTATATCTGCAAGAAGATCGGGGTGACTGTGCTTCCAGAGCGCCTACCTGACGACGACGACTTTGATGAAGCTGACAGCGGTCGTGGGTGGTGGTATGATGGCAATGGTGCTGCGATGATAATGGTGATGAGGATGGTGGTGGCCACTGCGGTGATGACGCTGGTGATGATAGGACTGGTTTTTGTGGTAGTGATGAAAGTAATGATCCTGGTTGGCGGGCGACGATTCTGTCGATGCTGATGTTCATCCTGTTCAAGACTGATGACCGTGGTGCTGCTGCTGTCGTCGAGGATGTCGAAAGAGAACATATACTGATTATGAAGATGGCGGCAATGGCATATTTCGTGGTGAGAACGTCGTTGAGGATGACGACGGCAGTGATGGCGACGCATGGTGATCAGGATAACGATTGTGCTGGGTGCTGCTGTCGTTGTTGATTTCAATGCTGCCGAGTGTGATGGATTTTGGCATGATGATGGCGGAGATGTTGACAGGTGGCGTGGCGGTGGTGATGGCGGCAATGAGGGTGATGGTGTTGAGGTGGATGGTACCGGGGTTGTCGTAACAATGATGGTTTTGTTGGTGATGATATTGCGAAAGCAGACAAAGATGATGATTCGGCAGGCCCTGTTTTGTCAGAGCTGTCGCTTCTGCTTCTGCTTGATTCGCACTTGTAGAGCTGTTGCCTCCGCAATCGTCGCCATGAAACCAAACACTTCGTGAACAAGAGACGTCATCTGCCAGGAACGTCAGCATCCGCGGAGCTATCCTGAAGGGCATGGTGATCTCAACCAAGATGAAGCGCACCATCGTGATCCGCCGAAACTACCTGCACTACATCAAGAAGTTCAACCGTTTCTGGGCTTCGTAGTCTCAGATCGAAAATAACTGCAGGAATCTGCTCGAATCTCCATACCGTCCCACTATGTCCCAGTGAAAGGGATCAAAGTCTTGGAGTTCAAGTACTGCCCGTAGGAGCAGCATCGAGGAGTACTGCTAGTGGCGGCATCAGCTGCACCGGTAGCAGCTTAATGCCGTTCATGCTAAGCGTGCTTGAGTAATCTTGGCACCATCTTCCTGGAATGCAATAAGCCACCAGCGGGGTAAATCCGAAACCCCAAGCTCTACAGCTTAAGACCAGCCCTCCCCAAATTCTAAACCGCCATAAATCGTACAAAAGCTTTCAAAGCATAGGTAAACTTCACTATAGAACTTAAAAGAGCTTTCAACTCGATCAAACTGAACAGCAAGAAAACCCCCAATCTCCGAAATCACGCTCCAAAGCCCCTAAACCTAAACCCTAAACCCTAAAGGATTTGAAAAAAAAAGACTTCAAAGCCTCAAAGCCCAGGTTTCGAGAAGCGCCACAGCAACCTGGCAGTCCACTGCTCTCCGGCCTTTGAGCCCAAGGAGCCGAGAAGCTTTTTTTTTAGCAGTTTAGAGAGGGGTTTAGGGTTTGAAGTTTAAGGTTTAGGGGTTTGGAGTTTAGGGTTGAGGGGTTTTGGGTTTAGGGCCCTAGAAGGGTTTACTCTAGTCTTAAAAGTTTTGATAAGGGTTTTGTGGGGGTGTTGGGGGGGGTTGTACGAGGGTGTTGTACTCTGTGAGGATTTTGGAGGGTTTTTGCGGTGGATCATAAGGTTTCCGTTAGGGGATTGGGGTTAGGGTCTCAGGGTCAAGGGTTTATCATTGCTAGCGTCGCGATGAGTGTTTCGAAAGCCTTGGGAAGCTTTTGATTCAGCACCCTAATGCAGTAATTATCCGAAATAGTAGGATCCTTTCTGTAAGGACCCCCAAAATAAGGTACGCCTAATTTTCGGAAACTCCCACATGGTGTGTCGGGGGTGGCCCTGGCTCAAGGAGGGCGACATCGTCACGGCGGGCCAGTGCCGACCACTGGCCAAGACCGTCCGCTTCAACGTTATCAAGGCTTTAGGGTTTAGGAGTTCAGGGTTTAGGGTTCAGGGGTTTAGGGTTTGAGGTTTAGGGGTTTAGGTTTTAGTGTTTGGTTGTCAGGGGAAAGGCGAAACCCTGTCTCAGCCATGGCGGCAGGTGGACAAGAACCAGATCTTCGGATCCGCACGAAAGCAGTTCGCGTTGTTCTGAGAAAGCGCATTTCCAATTGGAGAAGCAACGAAGAAGTCGAAAAGGGCTGAGCACCGCCAGCTGCTGGCATTTCCTGTGCTGGTTTGCAAGAATGGAGCCAATGCTGTTGTTCTTGCTGACATGCTAGTAACGATCAGTTGATGTCATTGCAAGCATGTTCATCTCGCGCCGTTTGCAAATTTGCTTGCGCTACCCTAAGCCCTACATGCTAAACCCTAAACTGACGTGGCTCACAGCCTTTTGCTTCCAATCCCACGGTCTTCCATTGCTCGCACTCGGCGCGAGGGCCTCAGCCCGCTCCAGACCGGTCGAGAGATCAATCAGGGGACTTAGCAGTTTTCCGGTAGTTAGTGATACTTATACATGTGTGCATGCTGAAAGCCCTACTTGCTAAGTTTCCCGATCCTCCCGGTTTATCGTTTCGGATCTTTGGTTGGATATTCCTGTTATGGTGCTTTGTTGGTCCAACCCTTCTTTTTCTGCTTCTACACCTTTTGTGCGAATATCAGCTCCTCTCAAGGCTTTTGGCCATGCGAGCACTCGTGGCCGTGAAACGGGTGGTGGACTATGCCGTGAAGGTCCTTGGCTGCAATCCTACAACCTCTCAGTTGCTGTTGTGTAGCTGCTCACCTCAGGTCCGTGTGAAGCCGGACAAAACCGGAATCGATCTGAACAACGTGAAGATGTCCATGAACCCGTTCTGTGAGGCCCTCCAGATGATTAGTGTGGCCCCGTCGGGAGTAAGGGAGCCCTCATGTGCTGCACCTGGCAGATTGCGGTCGAGGAGGGATTGAGACTAAAAGAGCCGAATCCTCAGTGCAGTGGCTGCGGAGTGCCGAGTGTGTCAGCCAGCTGGGCCGACAGAGGCTTTGCGGATATTTCGTGCTACTTAGGAAGGGGCACATCTCCGAGCTGGTTGCAGTCTCCTGCGGGCCTGACAAGGTGCGCTCGCAGCTAGAGTGCAGTCGCTCAGTTGGCCCCAAACGACTCGGGAGGAAGCAGGAGCGCATGTGCAACTGAGAATCTTGCGATTGCGCGTGCATGTTGTTTCGAAGCACAAGTGCAACGTCTGTCCTAGCTTGTTGTTGCTTGTTGCCTGTACATGTGGTGTGCTGGTCCTACTCAGGATCGATGCCATTATAAGGAAAGCCGCGGTTATGGATTCTTAATATGATGCTGAAGGCCTCCGAGACCTTGCGACAAGCCCTGGCAATGGGTGCTGACCGAGCTGTCCATTTGAAGACGTGCAGCGCTCAGCCGAAGATGCTGATGTAACTTCAAGCTGCGAGTAACGTGCAGACACTATAGAGAAGTGCCCTAAGAGGCAACAGCTGTCAGCATTGATGGTTTATTTGTTACTACTACGTTTACTACTACGACGACGATTACTACTACCACGACAACCACGGCTGCTTCTGCTGCTGCTGCTACTACTACGACTACTACGACTGCTGCTGCTGCCGCTGCTGCTGCTGCTGCTGCTGCTGCTGCTGCTGCTCTGCTGCTCTGCTGCTCTGCTGCTACTGCTGCTACAACTACTCCACGCCCACTAGCAACTACTTCTTCTGCTAATCACATCTTTTCCTGGCAGGGACATGCGGACGGACCAGGAGCTTCAGCCGCTTGCTGTCGCGAAACTGCTGGCGAAAGTTGTGGAGAAGGCACACATTGGGTGCCAAGTTACGCCGACAAAAACACGAAATAGGTTTGTTACCAGTTTCAAAAGAATCAAACAAGTAGTACACATTTATGACGGTTGTAAGGATGATGGCTGCAGTACCAACAATCGCAATAGCATGTATTTCGCTGTTTTACATCCTAGTATAATAAAGTCGTCACCGATGTGTCCTTGTCTTGCACTGGCAAGAAGTTCGGCATCATAGTCCTACAGAGCAATGGCAGTAACGATCGTGAGACGAACGAGGATGAGCATACCAAGAACTAACTAACCACCATCATGACCAGAATGATGTCAATACTAGTGACTCAACCTAGACCCTAACATCTCAAAGAAGAAAGAGGCTAATTAGGAGTTTCAGGTTCAGAGCTGGTAGCCCCTGAAGCCCGGTCATCGAGTGCTGCAGGAAACTCCGAGCGTAGTTCTGCTTGGAAAGCAGGTGAGCGGCTTACTTTGCTTGCGTTCCCTGCGGTTAGAGGCATTGCGCTCTGTGGGTTGTAAAGCTCTGGACTCCGAGAAGACGCCAATTCATGGGGGATCATGGTTTGATTGTTTACGGTTCTAGAGACGAGGATTGCAGGATTTGGAGGATGCTGCAGGAGCAGGCTTACAAGCCTCCCCTAACCACAAAACCCGGAGCTCTGTACCACAGCACTTCACACCGACACCCTAAATCCCTCACCCGCCTTACAAACATTTCATTCTCGAAAAGCGCCGAGGCCCCCTGCTAAACCTGTGAGCAGTTACGTCAGGCCTTAAACCGTAAAGTACTTCCACGGCCCAACATGCCTCCGCAGAACGAGAACCCCAAACTGGAAGCCGAAACTCGAAACCCTAAGACCTGAACCTCGCGAAATCGAACCCTTGTACACCCCCAACAGAGCCCTGTGCCGTGAGTCGTCGAGCTAAATCGCTAAAGCCGTCTCCCAGGCGATAGATGATGACAGTAACCAGACTGGTGCTCTCCTGGCTGGCCGCGGATCTCGGTCGCTTCCTTTTTGTTTCAGGTTGTTCAAGGGGTTTGGCTCACTTTCCAGTTCAGGTTGGGCTTTCTGCCGACGTTTCCAGGGGCGCTACACATTAAGAGCGGGTCTCCATAAGTTAGTTTCGATGCTGCCTGGCGCTTTTGGCTTTCTACTGGGTCTTAACGGTGTTTCAAGGGTCCTGAGAAAGCGGTTTTGGGTCGGTCTTCTGAGGGTTTCGGGTTGCGTTTTGCTTGTTTCAGGCTCTGGTACCAGCATTTTAAGATTCGCCGCTGTCGGGTTTGCGGGTTGAGGCGTTTGGGCCTCGATTGTTCGGTGTGTTGGAGGGTTCTGTTTGAAATTTCAGGTTTCGGCGGAGATCCTCAACCAGAAGCCTGGAAGTGGCAGTAGTAGCTTGAACAGCAGGTAAGCTCATCACATAACGATAATAAATGTCGGGGCTATGATGATTCCAGGGCTCAGGGCTACAGGTCGAAAGTCGCAGGACAAGACCCCAGGAAGCCCCCAAAGCCGACCAGGCCTACTGAAGTGGCCACAGGCGGGCTGCGCCTCCAAAGTGGAGGCGAAAACCAGTCAAAGCAAGACGACCCAAGCTGGGTAAATTGCAGGATCTAAAGAGGCATAGCAGGGCTGGGGGTCAGTCTTTCCTGATTCTTGACGATGTGTGCGCTTTTTCTGTTGGGCTTCAGGGTTTGTTGGTGAAGGTTTGGGTCAGCGGCCAGGTGGACGACGGAAAGACTGCACTCACGGTGGCCCGTGAGGCGCGCACATGCCAGGATGATGAGTAGCATTGCGACGATAGAGCGATAGAAAGTATACATATTCCTGCCCCGAGCCTCGGCGTTTGACAGCAAACTCTTCTTCATGATTCACCACGTGCCAGGTGGATGCAGGTATCCAGGAAGTCAAGGTTCCTCTCCCCGCTGTCGCCGTGCCCTTACGCATGAGATTGGAAATGGACCGACTTGGACCATCGACTCTATGCGACTATCCTGTGACTATTGAGGCTTGGTTCAACAGCAGGCAGTACTTTTTTGAGTAAGTGGGGAAAACAGGCGCGAAACCTTGTCAGAGGCACTTGTTTGCCTGGATGCGTTTCTCTGCATGTGCAGTGGGCGGGGCTCACTTGATTCTGAGCAATGAACCGGCAAGTCAACGTGATTTTCTTCGCTAGCCACCATCGTCCGCGGAGTGCTTCATGTCCACCCCGAAATCTCAGACACAACTCCGAATGCCAGAAAGTCCTGCAATTCATGTCGTGGTGCCTTCTGAGGTCACGGCAGACCTTCGCCTCAACGAGCCGCGTGCCAGCCTCAGGACTTGTAGGCAAGTCAGGTCTTACAGGAACATGGGACTTAGTACCTAGGGTTCCTTAAAGGGCTCCTTTAAGGGATCTATGGGGGTTCTATGATAAGAGGGGTTTTTAGGGTCTACCTAAAGGATCATGGGACTTAGTAACTAGGGTTATAATTAGGGTAACTATACTTATAACCTCAGTTAAGGTACTTATGGCCTTACTAAGTCCTATGATCCTCCAAGTGCAGGAATTGTTCATATAACAGTGACGTCATTGAGGGGCTGTTCATATAAAAGTGACTAACAGCGCCTAGATCGAAACGCAGCGCCATAGAGCGAAAGAGTTCCGAGGAAGACGCACGCCCTGGCCCCGGCACTGGACTGCAAACTCTGGAAGCCATTGTTCAGGCTATGCCACGCTCCCGAACCTCATGAAGGCCAAGAAGAAGCCCATGGAGGCCACCACGGTGACAGAGCGCCAAGGCAAATAACACAATCAAGGGAACTTAAAGCCCCATGCAAAGCTTTGACCCTAACAAACGGTTAATCAAGATACGAGCGAAATCTTCTGTTCTTGTTATCCGCTGGGCATTGCTTCTCGAGAGCTGTGCGTTGGCTCGAGGAGCCTCTTTGTTTGTGTCCTACGGTGCACCAGAAGCCATGCCGAAGTGGGTCTCCCGGACAGAGACGGCAGTGCAACCGACTGTCGAGGCGCGAGCTGGCACGGCGGCTACTAGATCAAAGTACTGTATGGGAAGTAATTAAGTACTTGCGTGTTGTACCGACTTGCAACTTGCAACAACAGTAGTCATGAAGCCACCAAACAACAGAGCCATGAGTTACGGTATAAGTGTCGCTGCGTGCAGATGCATTTTTTTTATTCAAAAACAGATCCAGCTAAATGACCACCATCCCCGAGAGCCTTCAAAATCGATAGCTGAAGCCTGTCCCCAGAAACGAAGAGCTGAACCCTGAAGCCTCTCCCCGAGAGTGGAGATGGAAAAGTGTTGCGTTTCGGTTTTGGGTAAATGAACGAAGGTTGGCAGACCTCCACAAACGTCCTGCAGAGGTTTCTTGGTGTCGGCCAGCCTAGTCTTGATTTGTAAGAGGCATTGGCCGACCGGTAGAAAATGTTTCTTGCTTACAAAGTCGAAGAACACTTTCGGGAGCTAGGCTGGGCCTGGGCTACAAAGCCTGAAGCCTTTCTGCTTGGCTGGATTCGGTGGCTGGTAGGACAAGAGATGGTCGTGGAAACATACAGGTTCAGGGTTTTGCGGGTCGGGTGTTGGGTGAAGGTTTGGACCAACACGTTCATCGACGTCCGTTTTCGATCCACATTTTCGTTCTATCCTTGTAAACCGACTGCCAAAATAGAAGTCTGACACCCTAGCCTCAACCCTAAACCCCAACATGGGAGTTTCCGAAAATAGGGGACCCTAACATAGTACCCTCCTTCTTATAAGGACCCCCCAAAATGAGGTACTCCTTCCTTTCGGAAACTCCCAAACCCTAAACCCTTTATAGAACCCTTATAGATTATAGATCCCTTTAAGGAACCCCTTAAAGGATCCCTGTTAAAGGTGCCCATAGAAATCCCGGGACTCCAGGCAGAGCTCGCCTTCGGTCACTACGCGCCGGCGCGATGTTGGCAGCGCAGCATCGGCGGAGGGCCCCGCGCCGAGCCGTTTTGGAGGGTATAGGGTTCCTTAAAGGGATCTGTAGGGTTTAGGGTTTAGGGCATACTTAAAGGATCATGGGACTTAGTAACTAGGGTTCCTTAAAAGGCTCCTTTAAGGGATCTATGGGGGTTCTATGATAAGAGGGGCTTTTAGGGTCTACTTAAAGGATCATGGGACTCAGTAACTAGGGTTATAAGTAGGGTAACTATACTTATATCCCCAATGAATTAAGGTACATATAACCTTACTTACTAAGACCATGATCCTCCAAGTATAGGGCTTTGGAGTTCAGGTGCCCGGTGCGTGTGTAGGGTGTTGCAATATGCTCCCGAACAGGAATAGAGCAACATAGGAATATGTCATGGAGCGTATGACGATATGGTCCTGCAGAAGAAATGCGGGTTCAAATACTTTGGAGCAGGTTTGGTTTCGGTACGATTGAGCCTTGCCGACATCGTTTCCAAGTCCAGGTTGCTTCGGTTTCAAAGCCCGGCCTGAACCTCAAACCCTCAAGCTGTCAAGAGTTCCGGTCAGGTGTATTTATGTACAGTCGTCATCATCGTTATCTGCATCTTCATCACCATCGTTCTACACAACATCAAAAGTGTAGTGACCGAAAATCACGCAAGCAGAAGAACAACGCTTGTCCTGCGCTAGTCTATACTTGAGCTGAGGCGGTCGGGCTTAGAGTTGGATCCCCCGCAAGTTCATGCTTTATGGGCTACTCTGTTTCGGGATTTGAGATCATTTTTTTGGGGGGGGGTCCGCTAATGAGCATCCTTTTCGGTATTCAATGGTCTCTTATTTCCGATGTTGCCCGCCTTGCTGTACTTCTATTTGACAACAGGGCATTATTATCATCAGTATGGTTACTCAGCTCGCGGGCATTACTAGCTCTCACACTCCGCTTTCTGCACTAACAGTTGCTATTCCAGTTCTTGCTTACGCTTTCGTGATCTTGCGTGCATTTGCAAAGATGAGCTGGCACTGCCACACGTGTCTGCATGTGCATGTGTTTTCCGCATGAGCAAGTCATGAAGGAGCCCCTTTGGCTGTAGTGGCCGGGCCAATCTGACTGTTTCATCCAGCTGACCAGCTTAGAGTCAAGAGTGTATGTTTTTCGTTTTGTCCCAAAAGGGCACCATCCTTCTTCACACGCAGCCCGAAACTTAAACCTTCAAGAGTATAAGCGGATTCGTCAGGAGCCCTATCGCCCCGGCCCAAATTACAAACTGCCTGTGGCCTGCCTGTTGGCAGGTTTCATGACCCGGCGGCATCGAAAGGTTTCGGTGAGCCCAAGGATTTCAAGCAGTGGCTGGACGCCTGTCTTGAACAAGATTCGGGTTAAGAAATTGGGGGTGTATATGGGTGTATCTTGCCAAGAATCTTTGTGATGGATTGTCCTTGGCTAACTTTCATGTTTGCCTCTTTATTTATTGATACTGCCCTAGCCCTAACCCTATGCCCTAGACTCCAAACCGCCGCACGAGTAGCTCTTCTTCCCAAGGATGTGTTCTGTCCACGTCGTCCTTGACGGATTCGATGGATCTTTGCATACCCTGCGTGGGTCGTCGAGTCCCTACCATACGGGCCTTCCTAACCAAACTGGGGTGTTGGGGGTATCCTATCGTATACTACTGGTATGTAGGGACTACGTGGGGATGCTTTTGCAAGTTCTTCAGGCAACTAGAGAAGGAGGGTTGCAAGCTTTCAAAGGCCCACTGTTCGCGATTATGCCAGGGCTCATTCCCGTGGCGCCAGGATAATTGGACGAAGCCAGCGCCGCCACCGAGCTGGCTCTGACCTTAGAAGTTTACACGGGTAGCCATCGCTGTCCAGTGTGAGTCCGCTGTGTGGGGGACAGTGGGTCTTTCTCGTTTCTCACGTCGCCACTGCCGGGTGCCAGTCCCAAAGGAGACTGCACGCATTTGGCCTCGCACCGCCAATGCTCGACGATCAGTAGCTGGCACTCGCGGTTCTTGCCCCAAGCACCCCGACACCACCGACACTCACAAGTAGGACTGCTGTTCAGAATATTGCGTATGTACCCGTGCATGACGTCATCATACTGCTTTGGCTGGCGGTGCTCACAAAACGAGCCTCGCTCGCTGCAGCCGCAGCGATCTCAACACTTTTTTGCTGGATCACTCGGCATGGACTGGAGCCTAAAGGTCCGGATTGGACTTGGTAAACCTTATTCCTCTAAGCGCTGGAAACCGAGATCCGAAGCGGAGACCGAAACCCAGATCCGAGGTCTCTCAGAGCGTCTGGTGCCAACACAAGCATGGTGCCGAAGGCTCGGCGGCTTTGGAGGATTTTACTTCCTGATTGCTACTGCCAGGTCTTACGGCTACTGCAACAGCTCCCGAATGGTGCCCTGCTTCCCAGTCGCTTCTGCGTTTCGCATTACAAAGACGACGACTACTACTACTTACTGCTTACTACTTGCTAGTTGCTACTTGCTACTTGCTACTGCTGCTGCTGCTACTACTACTACTACTACTACCACCACCACCGCTACGACGACGATTACTGCTACGGAGACGACGAGTGCTACTACTTCTGCCTCTGTGGTTGCTGTAACAATAACCCAGCAGGATGTTGATCCATGAAGGACTCCACTCGAGACTGCTACAGCAGAAGGTAGCCACGAAGTGTTGAAGGGGTCTGACATGCCACTATGGTCACTATGGATGTCGTCTTGAGGAGGGAAGCATTTAGACAGGCATTGAATGCCCCTGATTGACCCCCTAGTTAACGGTGGATATCACATTGACTGCTCTGACTCTTGAAGTTGGGCTCGAGGGGGATACCGACGATCGTAAGCCATTTGCTTAGTTTGTTTCTGATAATGTCGACGGTGGCTGTTGCATTGTCGTAAGGGTTCGTAGCATTCTGACCGGTGGCTGATGTATTGTTGCAAGGGTTCGTAGCATTCTGACCATGCTGCGCAGACCCCGGTCATGAACTTTTCGCAGACATCCGGGAACTTCTCGATGGCTTCCGAAGGCCTGAATCTGGGTTTTTTGGACATGCGCCGACAGTCAAAGAGTCGTTTTCGACGGTTCAGCAAGCTTGACTTGTGTGTCTAAAGCCGCAGCAAAGAAGAAGGCTTGAGATAGCAAGCTCAGACCTGCCCAGATCCTGTATCAGCTTCGTTGGCAACTCTGCTTTCAAGTCCCCCTTCAGCACCAGGTGAGGATGCCCCGACGATTGCCTTTCGAGAAACCGCCTGATGCCTAGCTTCCGATGTCGACAATACCACTATCTGAGCCACTATCTCAACACGAAGGTTTCTGAATGTTAGATAGGAGTCCGAGGCGATGGCATCGACGGGAGGCTGGACCAGAATGGCACCAAAGATGTCACTCAACTGCATGGGCCAATGCTGCATGGGTGCTCACATGACGATGCCTCCTTTGAAGGGGAAGAGACAGTTCATGAAGTGGAGACGGGAAGCAGGACAGAGGTTACAAAAGCTATGCAGCGATTTGCGTAGTGAAAGTACCGTACAAGGGATAAGCCGGAAACGAATACATAACTACACAAATCAAGATTGACAACGCACCAGCGTTCACATGCCTGCCAAGAATTCGTCGGTGGGTTGGACAACGCCATTACCGAAGTGTGATACAAAAAACAGTGCCAATGTCTTCATGACGAAAAACGCTGAGGAAGACCCTGGTACAAGAAGTGTGTGCAATATCGTGAGTAGTTGTGAATGTCCTGGAGAATTGTACACTGTACCTCTGAACATTTGCTTCCACTCGCGAAGAAGAACTAGAAGACACATCACTGCAGTTTCCTGCATCCAAAACCCACCATGAGATCGTAGATAAAGACGATACTGGATGAACAAACCCAGATAAGTTGGTGAATTTCGGCAGCAAGCGCAAAAACTTTGTCAGCACGAGAAGCTCCAACACAATCAACTCACACCCAGAATGGGAGACAAGCATGAAGCGCGGGGCAGCGACAGAGAAATTTACTTGCAAACCTTCATCTTGCTCACCCGACATAAAACGCTGCCGGCTTGACATGTTGCTGAACGAGGCCTGAGATCGGTTGCAAGTTGGCAATCGAATCGTGGATTTCTTCAACTCTGGTGTAGCTTAGTTGGGGATCCTTACAAGGAGGATCCAGCCAGGTCCGAATCGTCTGAAACTCTCGTTACTTTGCCGTTTTTTGCAGACACGGCATGTGTGGGCAATCCTTCGTGTGACGCGAAGAGTCGCAGTCGCAGCTAGCTGAGTGGCATCATGTCTGCGCGTATGGCCCGGGCGTTGGTGGTCTGCTGAGCGCTCGTGGGTAGTCAACGATACGACAGGACAACGGATTTACGGAAATGGTGAAAAAGTGTCATGAATTTGTCTTACAGGGCTTGTCAGCCGAGGATGTGGATGCGGTTCCTGTCTACTGTTTGGGTTTTGTCTTGCAAAGTTGTGTTATCAGGAGGTTGCGAACTGGGAGCCCCCTTGCAAGCTCAAGTACTCGGCGCAACAGAGTTCTTAGCATGCTGCCTTGTGCCAACAGTGCCTGCATCCAGGTAAAGCTCAGCAACACGGCAGTCACTGTCCTGGAACAACAACATCCTTAATCTTTTGCACCCTCTTTTGCAAACGTTCTGGCGACGGAATCAGCTCTTGCATCAGCCCCTTTCGATCGGGCTTATATGCGACTGCGACGTTTGAATGAGAGATGCTGAGGGTGTTTCGCTGAGGCCAACATATCCGCATCCCAGTGGTTGGAAGCATCAGACATCTTTGCTGTCACGGAATCCGGGCTTCGCAACTTGTCAGCAAGCCTGAGTCGAGAAGCTCGCAAGAGCCTGGCTACCTGAGGTCGGTACGCTGAGAACGCGCTGACTCGTCCACTCGAAGAGTCGATGCTTTGCAATGCCAAGGAGGGGAGTTGCATGTGCAGAGTTGAGCCGTTGGACATAGCCAAGCGGGCCAAAGAAATCCAGCCCTCGCACGGCTGTGTCCACGAAGGAGCTGTGTTAGCTTCATGGTTCTGCTGCTGTGTGTCAGAAGCGTTGCAATTGTTTCACCAGCTCCGTTGTTTGAAGCCCCTATTTGCAGGTTCATGTGAGAACCACGCAGACTACCCGACGATTAGCCCGGAGTCCCGACCCCAACACGCCCGGACTAGATCTCTCGCTTGTATAACTTGACATATCTGCAAGTTGCATGTGCGACCCCAGAAGCTTGCCTGCGCTTAGCACGAAGTGCTTCAAGCACAGGCCGGATGGGGCCGCAGTAGGACTGCCCAGAAGTTTTGGGCGTTGCTGATCTAGGGAGCAGAACGAGTTGCCAAACAATGCACAGGTCGTCTCGCAAGAACTAAGCAAGAGGGGTGGCAAGGATCTAGCAGAAGACGCAGACATTGAAGCGACAGTAAGCAGAATGGGTCAAGAAGCAGTAGCAGTAGCAGTAGGTAGCAGTAGCAGTAGCAGTAGCAGTAGCAGTAGCAGTAGCAGTAGCAGTAGCAGTAGCAGTAGCAGTAGCAGTAGCAGTAGCAGTAGCAGTAGCAGTAGCAGTAGTAGTAGTAGTAGTAGTAGTAGTAGTAGTAGCAGTAGCAGTAGCAGTAGCAGTAGCAGTAGCAGTAGCAGTAGCAGTAGCAGTAGGAGTAGGAGTAGTAGTAGTAGTAGTAGTAGTAGTAGCAGTAGCAGCAGCAGTGGCAGTGGCAGTGGCAGTGGCAGTGGTAGTGGTAGTGGTAGTGGCAGTGGCAGTGGCAGTGGTAGTGGTAGTGGTAGTGGTAGTGGTCGTCGTCGTAGTCGTAGTCGTAGTCGTAGGTAGCAGTAATAGCAGTGAAGAGATGAGGAGGAAGAATTACAGGAACACTGGGTTCGATCGATTTCACCAGCACTTCCATCAGCACAGGCGCAGTAGCACCGAAACGATTGTTCAGAAGCATGAGGCGAGCAGTGGCTCTGTTGCCAGTAGAGTTGTTGCAGCAACGATCTCAACCAATTAACTGCCAAGTCTCTTTTGCTCCCGGATTTCCACAGATAGCTCGTTTTCGAATCAAATGATGGCTGCTCCAAGATGTTCCACACATTTTGTGGCAGATGCACCATCGGATCTGAGAAAACAGGAGGGTTTTGGGCCGGACGCTGCGGTGCTCCTGTGGTTTATCTAGATAGGACCTCCCATGTTCAGAGGATCCTTGTTGTACGGTCTGGCGAAAGGTTTTGTGGACTGGAGGTTGGGTCGTCGTGCAGTCGCCGCTGAGCTGGGTGAGCGTTGGCCAGGCAATATCAGCTCAAAGTTCAAAGTTTTCTATCAACGAGCATCTTCCACTGGTTTTGCTGCGCTCTTGTCACCCCGTCCTGCATTTACAGGTTATTTTGCGTGAGTCAACCCCGTCCTAAACCAAGCACTGAATGGGGCAATGGGGGCTGAACGTGCGCAGCACTCCTCGTCCTCCAGAAATGACATGGTGCCCCAAAAGCAGACAAAGAATGCCTCAAACCGCTTCGGCCCATCCCTCCAGCATTCTGAACCCCCCTTGAAGCCTGAAGCGATTCCTTATTCCTGAAAATGTCAACCTGTAAAGTCCAAACTTCCAAGGCCTTCAACCGAGGCTTTAAACTCTTGACACCCTGAACCTATGCTCCAAAAAAGCCTTCGACTATCCCCCAAAGTCGTTTGACAACTCTCACAATGGACGAAACTCCCTGCTGATTACACAGCAAGCAACATGTACAGCAACCCTAAACCCTCAACCCTAAACCCTCGATGCTTTCGGATTTCAGGTCCTCGACGCCGCCTCCATGGGCGTAGATATGGCTCCGAGGTTGAAGGCGCCCCGAAGCTTACCTTTGGTTAGTAGGGAATGGAAGAATGGTAGTAACAGTAGTTATAATTGTACCCCATTCCTCCATTCCCTACTAACCAAAGGTGCCCCGAAGTGTTGGCAAGGGGATGGAGGAATTGGAGTGTTACGTTTCTGTTCTCGATAGGGGGGGATATGGTGGGATTTGGGGTTTAAATAGGGGGCCCCTAAACCCTTAACTCTAAACCCTAAACCTAAATTTTATGGGGGGCTTGCTTGGGGCTTCAGCTCTATTCGGGTTTGGGGGGTAGGATCCTGAGATCGAGGGGCTGCCGCAGGCTTGCGGTTTAGGGCCTACGCTTTGGTGCGCGGGGGAATGAGACTTGCGGGTGTTGGGTTCTAGGTAGGGTTTGGTGCTGACAGGTTCCCAAGTTCTCGGGTCCGCACAGTTCGAGGGTTTAAGGTTTCAATCCGGGTGTGCGGCTTAGGGGTTTCTGTGAAAATCATGGTTAGTTGCTTTCAGGAATTGGGATGATTTCTTCTGTTATCGTTGCAGTGTTCAGGTCAGGTCGGCTTTATGCATGTTTAGGGAGTTCGGGGTTTGGGACTTTGTAAAATTCAGATTGAAGTTCCAGTTACAGGTCTGGGTTTCTGATGCATGCGAAAAGTCCTTGCAAGTGTACTGCAGCGTGCAGAGGCGTCGCCTCAGGTCATTGAGATAAGCTACCGGCTTTTGGCCGGAAGCATTAACGCGAGCAGCGATCATGACCAGCTTCAAAAGCATGGCCGTGTCAAAATACTGTCATGAGGAAGCGTCATCAACTTCACATGGCAGTGCACGTCACTTCAGCTTGGGTTGTACAAAGAGTTCGCGATAATGCCCAGAAGAACTGGAACTGTCAGCAGCCATCCCGGGCCACAAAGCACAAAAAGTGTTTGAGCTTCTTGACGAGATGTGTCGGCACGAAGTAACCCAGCTCATCGGCTGCGATCTTTGCATCGGTTCCAGCTCAACCTGGGCTCACAGCCCCAATTTCCGGAAAAAACCCAAACACACCCTCGGCTCATGTCCCTGCACAGGACCCAAAACCCAAAACTCGAAGCCGGAAGTTTCCAAAGGCGAAACCCGAAACCCCAGAACTCCATATCTGAAACCGGAGCCTTCAACCCTGAAGCCCCTAACCTGAGAGCCTGCCAGAGGAAGCGCAGAGCTCAAACCCGAAGCACGAAACCCTCAAATAAAAGACCTATAAACTCTCAACAAACCTTAGACCCTCAGCACCGGCGCCATAAAGCCCTCATAAATAGAACCCTTTTAGGACCCCAAATCGGCCCTAACTTACCCCCGGTGAGGTGGTGAAGGTCGAAGAGCCCCCTGCGAGAGCCGGTGGTGTCAAGGCGTTTGCTTCGAGGGCTTGTTGTATTTTTTCAGATTTGGGGAGCTTCGGTACTCTGATGGTTGCAGGGTTTGACTCTTTGGGAGTTTCGGATTTCGGGCTTCAGGTGAAGAGCTATTTAGGCCCTTATCCTCAACCCTAAATTACGAAACCCTATAGATCCTTTAAAGGAGCCCTTCAAGACCGCCTGAAGCCCTAGGGGTTGTTCTGGTGATATGCAGGTTTGTGGCCCTTTGTGCTCGGGCGGGTTGGGTGTCTCGGCGGTTTGAGGAGACTCTATAGTATAGCAGTATACCCCAAACTCTAATTGAAGCCACCTCCGTAAACCTACTGTACTTGGAAGGGCTGTTACATGGGGTTCGAAGTACATTTCCAGCTGTTCCTACTGTACTTAAGGGTGTGGGGACAACCCAAGTATATAGGGGGTGGTATTACAGCCCATGTAGAATAGAAGTTTTCGGCTATCACCATCACTGGGGATCAGGGATGTTCCGGAACCTGAACTGCCATGTTTAGAAATCCAAAGCTCCCCTGTTGCAGGTGAGCTCTGTGGAAGAGCTCATTGACAAGCTTAAGAATGAAGCCAAAGTGTTGTGAACTCTTGCAGTGTACATACCGCGACGTGAATTTAGAGCCGTACCAACGTGCCACCGGTACCAACCCGCAGGTGCCATGGCTTAGCCGTGTAGCTGGACAAGCTAAAGTGATCTTCACGGAACGCAATAGGACCGGGACCTCTGTTACAAGTAAGCACAGCTGCACGGATCGTCTCTCTGCAAGCTGTCTGTGCAATTGGCATCGCAGCACTGGGGACCAAAGTTTGCATCGTCATGGCTCTGCTTTGTTTTGCCTGGAAGCAGCAGACTCTGCAACAGAAGCTTTATGACCCTGTTCACTGTGGATGATGTGCGGTGTTTGCCTGCCGACCTTCTCGAGCAATCTTTCGTCTTTCGGGCAAATGCATCACAGCTGTTTATTTAACATGGTTGGCGCGGGAAATGTAGTATCAAGCTGGCTTGATGCAGGCACGTGACCGTGCGATCCCTGCGAAGTCTAGTACCAGTAGAACAGCAGGTCATTCTGTAGAGTATTTACAGGTCTTCTGTCGGTTGTAGCCATGACTGCGGTAGTGGACTCAGATTCTTGTTGATGCCAAAGTCACGAGCTGGAGCATTGAGAACGCAACTCAGGTTCAGAACGACATTGCATGGAGACATCAGATGGTCACCGAAGTCCTGCCGTTGGACCTCTTCCTTAGCCGTGTCTATGCTGCTGCGACATGAACTTGAAGTGCTCCGACTCCAACTTTGTACTGATGCTGTCAGGTTCTAGTGAAGTTTGGAGTGTAGGAACGGCAAACCAGAAAGTGCAGGGAAGTCAACCACGGGGTGAACAAACCAGTCATCATCATCGACACCGAAATCTGAAGGTTCCAACACCGCGGATCCAATCCGTGAGCACTCTGATTGGGAGCGAGCCATTATAATCTTCATCGACAGAAAGCCACAATCTCCCATGCGCGTTGGGCGGCGTAGGATCGTCCCCGGACGTCGGCCTCACAGCTGAAGCTGGCCTGCAGAAGTGGGGGACTGAAGCCAGCACTGGCTGAGACTGAGAGTTCAGGCTCTTCGTTTTAGTTCGGCTTCAGGTTGAGGGTTGGAGGATGTTTGAGGCATGCTCAGGGTTCGGGG